AGGAGATCATGAAATCTAAGACTTCCACCTGTTCACTTGATCCCCTACCGACTATTCTAGTTAAGTCCTGTATTTATTCACTTTTATCCTTCATAACATCTATTATCTGTTCTTCACTATCTACTTCTACCAAAATACTGGAATGAACAGTAGCAGCTCATCTTCACTCACATCTGCTTACTAATAAAATCTATGAGCACTTTCAGTCTGGGTTCCGCTCCAAAAAAAGCACAAAAACAGCCCTCACTAAGGTTGTTAATGATTTTCTCTTAGCTGCTGATTCTGGCTGTTTGTCTATACTTGTTTTAGATATCACCACTGCTTTCGATACCATTAATCATTCAATATTACTGGATCGACTGGCCTCAATAGGAATTGCTGATAATGCCCTCTGCTGGGTTACATCTTACTTAAGTGACAGAAAACAGTTAGTGCAGGCAAAGAACAGTCGCTATGATTCAGTCTCAGTCTCTCATGATGTTCCTCATGGATCTGTATTGGGTCCTCTTTTATTTATAATTTAAATTTTCCCTTCAGGTCATATATTCCGTTCTTCTGGCATAAAATTTCATTTTTATGCGGATGATACGCAGGTTTATATTTCTACTAAGAATGCTTCATCTCAGGCCCCCTCCGATCTTACTAAATGTCTATGAGATATTGATATGTGGATGACCAGTAACTTTTAAAGTTGAATGTTAGTAAAACTGAAGCTCTTCTGGTTGGCTCTAAATCTGTACTTTTCAAAGCTCAATCCTTGACTCTATTTATCAATAATTCTCCAGTAAATTTTACAACGCATGCTAAAAATCTTGGGGTTATACTAGATCAGGGGTGACCAACCCTGTTCCTGGAGATCGACCTTCCAGCAGATTTCAGTTGCAACTCATATTAAACACACCTGCCTATAATAATCAATTTACATTGTCAAAGCATTAGATAAATAAAGATGAATTGAATTGAAAATGCTTAAATGTGTACACGTTAATGGACCGAACAAAATATGATCTGATTTATTTTACATTTAATGTGCATCAAAATTACAGTGTGTGTAGCCAATGTTTCCAGTGTCTTTTCACTTTTTAGCTTTTTGATGAGAGTTTTTAAAAGACTTTTAAAAGACAGTTTTCAAGACTTAATGAAAACTAATGTTTTTTTTTATTTATTTCAGACCTAATTGAAGAGAATGAGAGGAGTAAAGAGGAGGAACATCATGTCAAAATTGAGGAAAAAACTCATTTACAGACTGATGGTATTTTGAAAAGGAAAGACAAGAATCGTTTCAACTGCACTCAGTGTGGAAAGAGTTTTGGAAGAAAAGGCGATCTTAAGATTCACATGATGATCCACACTGGAGAAATACCATTCACATGCACTCAGTGTGGGAAGAATTTCAGCATATCATCATCCCTTAATCAACACATGTTGATCCACACTGGAGAAAAACCATTCACTTGCACTCAGTGTGGGAAGAGTTTCAGCCAATTATCATCCCTTAATCTACATATGATGATTCATACTGGAGAGAAACCATTCACATGCCCTCAGTGTGGGAAGAGTTTTAACTGCTCATCAAACCTTAATCAACACATGAGGATCCACACTGGAGAGAAACCATTCACATGCAATCAGTGTGGGAAGAGTTTTAACTGCTTAACACACCTTAATCAACATATGAGGATCCACACCGGAGAGAAACCATTCACATGCACTCAGTGTGGGAAGAGTTTTCGCCAATCATCATCCCTTAATCAACACATGAGGATCCACACTGGAGAGAAACCATTCACATGCACTCAGTGTGGAAGGGGTTTTAACTGCTTATCAAACCTTAAACAACACTTACGGATCCACACTGGAGAGAAACCATTCACATGCACTCAGTGTGGGAAGAGTTTTAACTGCTCATCACACCTTAATCAACACATAAGGATCCACACTGGAGAGAAACCATTCACATGCACTCAGTGTGGGAAGAGTTTTACCTGTTCATCACACCTTAATCAACACATGAGGATCCACAAAGCAGAGAAACCATTTTAAAACATGGACCAATTGCTCACTTTTTTAATCTCCAATCATCTTGTTTAATCCCGCCCCTTTTCGCAGCGCCGTACAACAGAATTCTGCATGCTCAAACTCTAGTGTCACTGCAGCTTCAGTGTGGGAAGAGTTTCAGCAACTCCTCAGACCTTAATAAACGCATGAAGTCCCACAAAGGAGAGAAAACATTTACATGCACATGTAGTGTGGGAATAATTTTAACTAATCAGCAAACCTTAATAAACACATGAAGATCCACACTGGTGTAAGAGTATATGTGCTTGAGTGTAAGAAGACTTTTATTACAGCTTGATTTTATGACAGCTCAAAATTGAAACTGCACAAGACGATTCACACTGTGACGAGGTTTAACCAGTTAACACATCTGAAAAGACAAAAGAGGATTTACACTGAAGAGAAACCGTAAAGATCTGATTAGTGTCTACAAAGTTTCGCTCATTCAGCGCAGCTTAAGAAACACATGGACAAAAAGTTGCACACGACATGATTGCAGCAAAACATTTTCTCATGTGCACTGGATGTTTCATGTCTGAATAATGTTTAAAAAGGCTCAGTGACAGTATATTGTTTTCCAACACTCCTACACTGTAGTCGGTGGGGTTGTAAATGTGTCGCGTTTACCATAAACACAAAGGTGGCGGCTGAGAGAAGAACAGTTTCATAAATATCTGGCAAACAGCACCTCAGCGGCTTGAAATCTGTTTGCAAGTGATTGTACAGGTGCGGATACATCTGTGCACTACTCTCCAGTGTATTTATGTATCTAGTGTTGTTTTGGATGATGTTCTTTGTCTGACTCCCTGAATCCAGAAATTCATTTTGAGCTCCAGGACGGTTCGTTTGCAGTATACCAGGGCCTCAGGTTTAGAAAGTCTATTCAATTGTCCTGTGTTGCAGCTTTTATTAGTAAAGTTTCTTCACTTTTAGGTTCAAGATTCTTTCTAGTTTACTACATTTACTTTTTTTGAGTAGAATACAAACTTTATGAATATTTTATGATTTAGGCAGAGCAACAGGTATTAAGTTTTACAATATTAATACACTGTGATGATTGCAAGACTCCAGATTGGAGTATGTTGTAAATCCTGATTGGATGCCTGCATTACTCATCAATGGGTATATTTAAGTGGTTTTGCTGGCTACCCCAGGATGCTGTGGCTACTCAGGAGTCCTCATGTCAAGACCTGCCATCTCAGTGGATCTTTAACCTTATGGTTTTGTTTTGCATTACTTGTATCATGTAGTTAAAAGTGTTCTTGTGATTATGTCCTAAGTTTTTTTATCTTCTTCTTATACCTAGATATTTGCTGGTTGCTTTGTTTAATTGTTATATGAGTTACATTTCATAATAAATAATTTGCATTCAGGCCATTTTGTTGGTTCATCTCTATTTTATGTTGTGACTCAAACAAGCAGGTCATAACACTCTGTAAAACGTGTCCTGTTGTATCAGAGATCTTGTCCTTTCAGTAATAACCATAGGTGAGAGTAGGAACCTAGATTGAGCGGTCAATTGAGAACATTACCTATCATCTCAGCTCCTTCAACACAACAGACTAGCTATTACGATGTACTCCTATGCAACCTAGGGTGCTTATTTTTCCAGAGAAATTGACTAAATTATCAAACCGTTTCAAGTATTGTAAAGATATATTTACAGGGATATACCAGCCTGATCTCACGAGGAAACGTAAGTATTTTACGTTTTGTCAGTTGAGTGGCTAGTTCATACAAATTCGAACGCGTTCAGTCATATGAAAATGTACGATTTATAAAAAAGGAGGCGTGGCCCCTAACCCTAACCGTCCTTGGGTGATGAGCAAATGGTACTAGATTGTATGAATTAGATTGTACGAATTCATACGAATTAGCCACTAAATCAAAAAGTTACGAATTGCTGTGAGATTGCATTGGATATACTGAAGTAGAGAAGTATCTTTAGGAAGGCAATTCATTTTGAGAATGATAGTTTGTTATTTTGAGTACCTCAGAGCAGTGGTTATCAATTCTGGTGCTTGTGCAAAATGAGTTAACAACCATCCAAAAGTCATTTTAGCTCTTATTACTAGATCTTAGAATAACACTTGAGAAACCACAAAAGCAGAGATTTGGCTTATCTTTAACTGCTAAGGATCAATTTGCACCAGATTAACAAGCAACATTTGTTTGATTTTTCTTTGCTGACTGGCCTCAACGAAACACAGCGTTCCTGATTGGCTGGTGACTCAGCTTCAGTGACGTCCTTGGCATTCACTCACTTGTTAGTGGAAGTTGTCCTGTGTTACCGGGGTGACAGACTCTGCTGAGAGTCGATTTGCAGAGGTTTTTTTGCATTTTCGGCAGTTCCTAAACAAGAGGTTGCATGGAAAGTTCTTAGCGACCTGATTGTGTGACGGTGCAGTGTCCGAGAGCAAGGCGAGCATGAGTGAGCTAATGCAAAAAAGCAAAGTTTTACTGTTGCAGTAGGTTTTTAAGTGATCTGGTTTAGTCCATCCAAATGCCACTGTTTTCCAATGAGCAGTTGCCATGGAGGGTGGGCCCACGCCCCGTAGCATTATGCTAAGGGTAAGTCATTAACAGACTGCTTGGTTATTTCATGTGGTAAAATATCTTGTAAGGTCGTTACTATCTTACATCAAATGTTACAAGACAAATACAGTTTCTGAAACTAGTTTGTCATTTACCAAAACGTATTTCAAATATCACTAGCTTATGTTTAGTACCAGACATCATACATTTCTGACACACAGAAGCATTTATCTGCTATAAGGGTTAAAGGGCCATGTTTCAGCAGTTTCACACCTCTAGTTTGGAAAATGTCAGGAAAGTGGGTGTGTCTAGCTCTGTTTAGGTGGGAGTGTTGGGGGAGGGAAGAGGGTTTGCATGAAAAGGGGACTGTCATTACGTGCATAATAAAAAGCAGACCGGCAACGCAGACGCAGAGATGGACAGCGATTCGGAAAGCAGCATTTACAGTGGATTTGACAGCTATGTGGAGGCGGAGGATTTCTCTCCACCAGATTCCCCGCAGTCACATCCGGTTGAAGACAGTACAGGTCCACTGCCTTATCAGTTTGAACCTTTGAACACAAACACACCAGTGAATGCAGAAGAAAGTGAAGATTCTCCTAACGACTCGAATATTGAAGTCTCGCAATGGGAGTTATTATTTCCAGCTGTATTTGTTGAAATAAACAAACAAATACACAATTTTGGATGCCACAAAAACTGCACTGCATCAGAAAACTGAGTTGTTGTCATCTTAACAGGTGTTGTGATAACTGCTCCAGACTCCGTCCAGAGGAAAATGTATGCTGTAGAGACATACCAGAGGTAATAATTTATTTTTGCCACTAATTCCTGAAGCTATTGCATGCACAGCATTATGTTGTAGCCTATACTAAGTAGTACGCTTTTCATTTTGGTCAACAGGTGCACAGACATGGCCAGTTTATCAGCGTATGTTGCATAACAAATCACCCAGGATTTGAGCCTGTCGCTCTTAACCCGTACGTCCTGCAGATAGCTTATGCCCCATATCGACAGTTGTATGGGAAGATGTCAAATGCAGCTCACAACAGGTTGGTAAAATGTGCAACTGAAACATTTCTGTGCTCTGTTGTTTCAGTATCATTACAATGAAGTTTTATTATGTAATGATAATGCTTTTATTCATTCATCCTGGGAATAAATTCCTGAACAGTATTACTTCTATTTTTATTATCAAACCTCTTTAAACGGCATATGATTCAAAACTGTATAAATTACAAAACAATAATATCTAACCTGATCTTTGTTTTATTCAGTTGTTACAAACATCTGGCATATAGAAATTTTGTCTGGTGGTGCTGGAGATATCTGGGGAGACAGATCAGAGTGGTGATACCCTCATGTGCAGTTGGAAGAATAAGACAGGAATTCCCAGAAGAGAATGTAAACTACACTGGTTTTTTACCCCGTCCACTTTAGTATAAACCAACTGTAATGTCTCAAGTGTGCTGTAATTATATATATATATATATATATATATATATATATATATATATATATATATATATATATATATATATAAAGAAGGATTAACAAATACACATATGTACACTAAAAACCACAATTTGTCCGTCTTATTCATTTTTGCATCATAGGTTGACATAAACATTTGACATTTCAACATAAGAAAAATATGACACAAATATGAGTTATAAGTAAAATATGACACTAGTGGGGCGCTAAGGCACAAGGTCGCAAGCACGCCTCCCACCAGTGCTGATATACAGCCATAGTATCTCAAAGTCAACACGCAGCATTCACTTTTAACAATTTAGCCAAGTAAAATACAACACAGTTTCCACCCCACAAAACAAACAACACAAGCCAGGAGAGAGGAGACTCTTCAAATGATGTTCCAGTCCGGTTTAAATTGTCTTCACAAAAAAGCCAGCCTCCACGTGCTGGCTGGCACCTGATTCACCGCACCTGTGTGGCAATGATGAAACCTATTCGGAGACAGAGGTGGAGAGAAGAGAACCTCACGCAATACACACACAAAAACCTCACTAAAGATATTTATTTGTATTATTTTTATATTATCAATTATTTATTTAAAGAAAATTCGTAACAATGACACAAAGCAACACTATTCAGCTGTGTTTGTGTCATGGTACTACGAAGCCATGTTTTTAGTCTTCTTAGACCACTGAAACTTCTCTCAGCTTCTGTTGAATACACATGAGTGACAAGAAGCAGTCTTACAAGTGTTTTCACTTGATCAAAGAGACCACAGACTTCTCGACAAATTTCCTAAAGGATGCCCGCTGCTTCACTGCTGGACTGCACATTGTACTTTAATCTGAACATCGTCAATTGTGTGCTAAGGGATGTTTTGTTTAATTCTGGGTACTTTTGCACCACACTATCAACCTCCCCTGTTAACAGAATGTTTTCCAGATTCCTTAGCATCAGCAACCCTTCCTGCTTCCTGCTAAATCGTTCTTTGAACTGCATTTGCACAACATCAAGCACTTTGTAAAAGGCGCCAGAGTGGACAAAATTCAAGTGAAAGCAGAGAAACTGCATGTGAGAAAGACCGAGTATGGCCGGCGACAGAGACTGAATGCACACAAGAGAGACTGAGTACTTATGAGAGAGACCGAGTGGTAAGAGTGAAAGACAGAATACACGCGAGGAAGACCGAATACCCGCGGGAGAGACTGAGTATTCGTAAGAAAGACCGAGTGGTAAGTGAAAAAGACCGAATATACGTGAGAAAGACCGAATACACGCGAGAGAGACCAAGTGGTAAGCGAGAGACACCGAATAATGCGAGAAAGACCACATGCTGACACGTGAGAGAGACAGAGTAATGTACACGTGAGAGAGACCGAGTGGTAAGCGAGAAAGACCTAATACACGCGATAGAAACCAAGTGGCAAGCGAGAGAGACCGAATGCTGACACGCAAGAGAGACCAAGTAGTAAGCGAGAGAGACCGAATAATGCGAGAAAGACCATGTGCTGACACGCGAGAGAGACCGCGAAACATAATACATTACTGTTATTGTTATTATTGCTAATATGTTGTTTTTATATGTTCTCTGTGATGTAAAAATGTGTAACATTAAACACCTTACATTTGTCATGCCAATAAGGCAGTTTGAATTGATTTTTTTGTGTGAGAGAAAATAAATCTGACTGTGAGAGCTTAAAGAGAAGGCAAGAAGGGCCTTTTATGCCATTAAAAATCAACACAAATAGAAATTCTTGTTCGAACCTGGTTCAAAATATTCCAGTCAGTGATTGAACCTATAGTGCTATACTGGAGTGAGGTTTGGGGCCCTCTTCTTAGTCATGAGTTTGATAAGTGGGATAAGAATCTAGATGATTATAAATGAATCATTGTAAATAAACAGATTATTGTTTTTATTACTGTTTCATCCTAAAATGTGGATTGTTAAATGTACATTTATTCAAAACTAATATTATTTTTGTATTGATTTGTATGAATAATATGATATGTTGAATAATATGGTATATTGAATTTTAATGTGTTATATTAAATAATATGATATTTTGATATTTTATTTAATTATTATATATACATATAATATTTTTTCAACTACTATCTATTGAGTGTACTGTTTTTTATTATTATTATTATATATGTATGTTACTTTTTATGTAAACTTTAGATAACCAAAGATGCCGTTTTAAATTGTAAAGAAATCAGCGTATTTAAACAAATGAAGACAGCAGAAGTCAATGAATCATATGAATTATTTAGCCTGACATGTTAACTGCTCCAAAATATTTAAGATGTTTCCCTAAATTAAACATATTGTATTCAAAGGGGACAAAAGTTTTACCCAGACATTAGAAAATGAACATTAGAGCAGTAATCACAATACAGTGAAACCGTGATATTTTTATCCAAGATTATTATACCTTCAGAATCGGCCCATGCCTATGTGTGACACTATATGAAGAATATATGGCATCACGACATTTTAACAGCATGAACTACTGCCACAAGCTGTTGGAGAAACATTCACAAATTCTTCCCATGATGCTAGACCATTTGAGACACTCTCAGGTAAATTTAAGTTAGTAATTTTAAGTTAAAAATATGATAGTATCAGTTTGACAGTATCAGTTAAACATACTCTCTAAGAAGGTCACACTATATCATTAATATCGGACTTAAATGACAGTGTGTTAGAAATGTTTAAGTGGAAATTATCCTCTACCCCCAAGTCACACCACCAGCTGTTCACTTATGTCGGGGACTGGAGGGCGATCAAGGTGATTGTTTATTTAATGAATACATTCTGATGATAAATAAGGTGCAACATTATAAATAGTTTTTAGGTCAAATGTTTTTATGTCTCACTTTATATTAAGCATCTCTCACACTCAAAAAATAAATTCAAACTCCTTTATTGGCATGACAAATGTAAGCCAGAAGCTTCTGATTGTATCTCATAGACAAGCCACTGTTGAAAGAGGCTTTTCTGTTAATAAAGAAATAGAAACCTGCAACATGCAAGATGACACTTTAGTAGCACAGAGGCTGGTATGTGACTGTCACTCAACATGGTGGCGTTACCAAAGTTCCCTTGACAAAAGAACTTTTGAATTCAGTGGCAGCAGCCAGAACAAAGTACCGTTTCTACCTTGAGACAGAGAGAAAAAAGAAAGAATCTCTTGAACGAGGCCAAAAGAGAAATTTGGCAGAGGATTGCTGAGAGAAACTAAAAAAAGGAGGAACACTATACAAACAGCTGCTGTAAGTCGTTCCAGAGATGCAGACATATTTGCAGAGGAAGCTGAGGGCACGGCTGGCAGTAAAATGACTAATAACTACTGTAAATCAAATGCTTTAAGGAGGGCCAGCAAAGAGAAATCAGATGAGCTCAAGAACATTGAGGAGGAGATTCTGGCCTTGGAGATTCAAGGAGAAGAGCTCAAAATAATGTAGCATGCACGCACACAGACATCCCAAGTAGGAAAAAGTCATTTCCGGGGGATACAGAGTTGATTTGCGGGAGGTAGCGGATTGGTGGGTGCTCGAAGAGCAGGGGCGGGGTGGTTGAGTAGTGAGCAATGTATCTGTGAAGGGGGGCATGTGCGCGCGAGACGTACTAGAAGAGCGGTAGGGATGCAGTTGAGAGAGGGGTGTGCAACATATTTAAGGACCGGGCAGGAGACGTGCGATTTCCGGGAGATTATTATTGCAGGCATCCGGGAGTGTCTATGCATTTCAGGGAGACTCCCGCAACTTCCGGCAGACTTGGGATGTCTGCGCACACACACACAAACACACACCTGCAGACATATTAAGATGTTTGTTTTTTCCTGTACGTTGTTCAATGATGCTTGTAACCAGTCTTCAGTGTTTTTCAGTTTGAAAAATATATTTTGCCACTAATTTTATGATTACGCCATTTTCTTATTTGTGTATGTTTGTTTTTGATATTGCGGGATAGGTCTTAAATTTAATATTTAATGGTCTTAAAAAGGTCATAAAAAGTCTTAAATTTGACATTAGGATTTCTGTAGAAACCCTGTATAAGTGTATTCACTTTGACCCCTCTTCGCTTCAGCTATTGCAGGCATCGATGCAGTCCCTCCTTTTCCATGCGATGGCTGTGGCCAACATCATTGCTCTGAAAGTAAAAAATGACATAATATATTTTTGTCTAATATATTTTGGTGATATAAACCATTGTGTTGCTGCAAAAGATTTGGTAATAAACAGAAATACCTGGATAAGCTGAATGTTCACTATTCCGTTTGATTTGAGGTCCATCACAGAACAGGTACTATATTTTGCACTGTGCCCTAATTTTAAAAAATATATATTTCTGTGATGATTGAATATTTATAAACAAAGTTACATAATACTACTTTTATATTGTTGTATTATTTTGATACACCTACCAGGAGAGTCAGCTCGCATGTCCCCGCCAAAGATGGTGTCTCCATTCTCGATTGCATGGTGAACAGCTGTACTTTGTTGCACATTTCACAGCCAGTTTATTGTTGGAAAAAGTAAATTCCGCTGGTGTTTTAGGTAGGTTGTGTGACTAATCCCTGCAATGTTAAATACCTGAAACAACTGCAGACACAAAGAAAATTAACTATTAGTTATACTGCAGCAGAAAGAAGGGTCACAAAGGGGCATAAATAAAAATAGCCTTGCCTTCTCCACTTGCAAGAAGGAGGCTCTACTAAAAAGTAGAGCTGCGGCAAGCTGGATATTTCCTGCTGGTATGTCTGCAACATACGGCTGACTGGTCTGTTATGATGCTCACAGTGTGTGCAGACCTGATCCACAAACTAAACAGTTCCGACTGTCCTACTGTGTGTAGCACAGCTTTTTATGCAGATAGGACACTGCCTGAAGAGCGCAAAGAGGTTTTCTTTATAAACAATAAATTTCCTCATTCTGTAATATGGAGTTTCTATCACAGTACTGATAGGAGACACAAAAACAAAAAA